TGAAAGTGAAGAATATGAAAGTAAGTTGCATAATTGGTTGTGTGAATGGCTGTATGTGCAGTTGTTTACTTAACCGGTCTCATAGTTTATGTTAATGACCATATGTCAGATATATTATAGATTATCTCATACAGTAAAGGTAATTGTGATCATGTAAGATAAAAGATGAAGTATAAACTTAAAGTTGATTTTGAAATTGGATTAATAGTTCCATGAATAACCATACTTTTTGTAGATTTTGCCTCTTTTCATTGCAGAGAAATTGGTAAATTGGAACTACATGTATCATATTACTTACAGACACTACCCCAGCAACTCCAGTTTTTCCAGAGACTCTTCAAGCCCTGCAGGACTTGCCTTGTGATGGGGCCTTTGTGCCACCAACATACATCATGTACTCAGAGAGTGTGATGTCGGCAGATGATGTTCCTCAAGGTATTACCATATACATAATGGAAATACTGCACAATAAATTTAATAAAACTTTCAAGGTTCTGGGTGGGGAGAGATTTGCAACTGTGATAGTTTATTGCAGGTATACCTACCACAAGATAAGATGAAATCATGTAAACAACATCACAGTTCTTAGAAATACAGTTCATGGATTTTAATTGTATTTCCAATCTCTGTATGTGTTTATGTATTATGTATTATAGGGAGAGAGGTGTTTACTTAATATTCCTGTGTATATGTTTTAAATACAACATTCACATGTCTCAGTTAAATGATTTGTTTCTTTAATACAGTTGATGCAGTTTCACATGTTAAGGCCACAAAGACTCTCAGTGGTATGTACAGCAATACATCAAATTTGAAATGATAGAAAGAGAAAAAATGTAATTTACTCAAGAAACCCTGATGTTTGTTTTGATAAAGTTTGTATGAAGATGGACGAGACATAACTGTTGCTGTGAGACTTGTGTTATGTAAAATGAAAATTTCTTTCAGACAAAGATAACATTCTGAACATAGAGAGGGAGAAACTGAATGTGCTGAAAGAGCTTCTTGAGGTCGAAAAAAAGAGATTACATGTGGAAGAACAGAAATTGGCCTACATCATTTCTCTGGAAGCTGGCCACTCTGGTCAACTGAATGTATCACCAGTTATTCAGTTCCTTTAAACTTTGATTAATTTTCCCAAATATAAAAATTCATACTGATAATGTAGCTTCTGTTGTCATTTATCATCGGTTACAAAAAGTCGTTTATCTTAATCATACAATCATTTAGAGAAACAGTTATTGACGACAGCTTGTCGGACTTTGAGGCCGTCATTGAGAGGTCCCAGGTAAGCTATCCCATCTTCTTGGAGCAGGTCTTCTTGTGTAGGAGGAGCTGGCAATCTTAGGCTGATGCAGAAGTTATGCAGCTGACAGGTTGCATACACAACTTGATGGCATTTTGGGGGGGTGAATGGCAGGCAGCCACCTGATTTATGTAGGCACCTAATAATGTATATAAACACAAACATTACCCTTTGTTCAGAATGCAGATAAGATAGACTAGTCGCATTATGATGTGTAAAACTTGAAATATTCTTAAAAGACCATATCTCTGATTTACTTTAAAGTATGAGTATTATCTTAAAGCATAACATCTTAATCTGTCATTAGCACAAACATATGCCATACTAATGTCTCAAATATTGAAAAATGATATATATGCTTGAGTAGAATAAGGGATGAACATATACATGTACATGCCTGAACCTGGATTTAAGGAGTCCAAAGGCCCTCTCCACAGTGTTGCGTGTTCTGCAGTGTGCAGTGTTGTAACGTTCCTCAGACGGTGTTGTAGGGTTAACTATTGGCGTAAGCAGCCATGGGCGACATGCATATCTGATGTAAAAATTGTAATTCTGTTAAACATACTGACCATACCATTAAATATTGAAATACAACTTAAAATACCAGCTTATATATTTCACTTCAAATGTTATTTCATTTCGTGACAATTTTATTGGTGTCAGTCTACATTGTGAAATTTGGGTTTAAGTACAAGGGGAAATCACTTTCACGCAGAGCTAGATTTTATGGGCGCTGCTTTCAATTTATGATCAATATATTTTAAAGTGACTAATATGAAATAAACATTGGAATCTGAAAATCACATTTTGATTACAGTATCGTCTTCTGTGTGCCAAGTTACAAAATATCAACTTCTTGTTTATGTGTTTTCATATCTCTGTAGTGGTTACAATACAACTTATGTTTACACAAATGATTTGCTGTTACCCTGAATCGCCTAGCAGCCATCCGTCATTCCCAGCAGTCTCCATATACTGCCCAATCTTGCTGTTTTGTAGCATGAACGAATCATGAGTTGAACCAGGCCACTTGGAAACCACACTTGTAAACCTTTTGATTATATGTACATATTTATAATTCTTCCATGAGCCATGCATTCATAAATCGATATTAAAGTTATTTTCTCAAGTCCCTGTGTGTGTGTGATAGTCCAACTGGCTGTTAACAGTTTTCTTTATTCTTTATTTTTTCAGCAGTGAGCATTGCTTTAAGTACTAAAACAATCGTCCTTTATCACAATGGTAATTCCGCACGGTAATAGAAACCTGTATTGGACCTCATGACAAAACCCATGTTGGGCCTTACGTAATGATTGGTCAACAAAATGAGTAGGTGGCACCACTAGTCATTGTCAAGGTCATTAAAGAGAGTAAACAAGGTGTGTATCCTTCGATGTTTCCCTGAATAATGTTGTTATTACGTCTGTATACAAATGATTGATTCTTACTGACCCTATCAATTGTTAAATAAGGATGTTGCTGGGTGTTGTTGTTAACGTCTGTGAAGTGTGATGTACCTTAGTTCTGCGTCACAGACAGCTTGTACGTTTACGGCATGGAAGCCCTTCCTGCAAACGTAAACCGCTTCTTCATCCCCGGTGGGTCGCATGATAGGTATGAGGGTGCCATCTATACAACCAAGCACTTTTGGAAATCTGCTAATGTTATAAAATGCTTCCTTCGTGACACGTTGGTCGGATGTTGCCTTTGGGAACGAAATCAGTTTTAGTTGTTTGACAATGGCTTCATTTGTACGGGTAAACACCCGTGACACAGTGGACTGGGATACCCCATGCAAGTCTGCTAGTTCAGTGAAAAAAGACCCCTTACTATAAAACCTGAGGGCAATCAAAACCTGTGTTTCCGGGGACAATGCATGTGAACGCTCTGTTTCGGAAGCAAGATATGGTTTCAGTAAGTCTATAAGTTTAAATATGGCATGACGTGGTAGCCGGTAGCGCCGGATTATGCTGTCATCATCGAGCGTGTCAAGTATTCGAGTTCGGTCTCGAAACACCCTTGGTCGTGATCGTGTTGCTTTTTCTTCTACTATGCCAAGCAAAAAATATGCCGCCATCTTTATACTAAAGTTACGACAGAAATGCTTGATTTACGATAGGTACTGACCACTCATAATTTTTCTCTTAACTTTACGAGATATTTTCACTAAGATAGCTTTGTGGATCGCTTAAGATTTTTGTCATAAAGTTACGACGGGTTTTACGATGTTCGTAGCGCTACGAAGGCTTTGTGGATCGGGGCCCTGGGCCCCGATCCACAAAGCCTTCGTAACTTACACATATCGTAAGAGTTTACGATTGAAATTAAGATACTTTTACTAATATTTACGACCGATCCACAAAGCGTTCTTAATCCGTTCGTAAATTCATCGTCTTACGATCATTGTCGTAAATTAAGATTGTCGCTCTCCTGTGATGGAGGTAAGAATATAGGGGGATTTCCCCAATGACGTCATTAATTTACAAGGGGAATCCCTTAACTCTATTAGCAGACGACGCCAGTCGTATTATCAACCGATCATGGATTGTAGTCAACCATTGACATTGAAACGCCCAAGGAGTAAGAATTGGACTAACAGTGAGTTAGCCCTTCTAATAGAGGGTGTTCAGTCGAAGAAAAACGTGTTGTTTTCGTCGTTTAGCAACAATTTGACGAACAGCATGAAGAAGAAAGCATGGGAGGACATTTCACAGAGGTGAGTGATTTAATGAAATTGTGTGTGTGTGTGTGTGTGTGTGTGTGTGTGTGTGTGTGTGTGTGTGTGTGTGGAAGGGGGGTGGGGGATGGGATGGGTCATATGTCTGGTATAAACTGGAGTACAAATATGTAAATAATGATCACGTAAAACATCGATGTTTTATGTTGAATATTGCAGAGCGAGGAAAGCGTTCTGACGGTAAATATCTGTAGGCTATCTCACCAACCTGTCAACAGGGTCTTACTTCATCAACCCGTCTTTGGTAATAACTTGATGCAAAGGATATACATAAGCTGGAACTAGCGCTGCAGTGTCACGGGCAGCCATTTTGACACTTAGAAACAGTGTTAGAAACTAACAGTTTTTGTCCACTAGGCCTAGTCCTTATAATGATACTACAAGTATGTGTATAACACACAGAACAATTTTGAACAATCGGGGACCTGCACTCTGATTTCTCGATCTCACTTTGAGGCATGCTAAAATAATATTTGTTTTATTGTTACCTCACTACTAATGGAATTGGATCTTGATGAATCTTGGTAAACAGTGTTTATTAAGACCCATTTATTTGTGTTATTTGGAAAACTATGTCAAATGGGAATCATTCTGACTGATTCTCTCCCCAGTGACAGTCCTTTGTGTGGCCCAGTGGTGTTTATCATGCCAGGACCTGCCTGTCACAGGTTCAAAGACCAATCATAATACATAGCTTGTCATCCTCGTACAGTGCTTATGCATTTCATTAGTGGGAAACCACTACAAGCCTCTGTCACTTTGAGCAGACGCAGTGTGATATGACTGAAACACTGGCTAAAGCAGAGTTAAACTCAACTCACTCACTCACTGATTAGGGGAATAAAAACATAAGACAAAATTGTGCCTGCAATTAAAATCGTATTTATTAAGTCCATAAAAAATAAGTTGTCTTATTAATTGTGTGTCAGATATTTCAAGGGGAAAACAAATACATTGTTTTACACTTAAAGTGGCCTCCACCTCCCCATATAGCCACACCTTCACCACCAAAACATATCCACTGAAATAAAAAATAGTAATCATGGTAATTACTGGCAGTTCAAATAAACAACAGGCAGTCTGTACATTGTTGATATATATACTTACCATGCACATTATACATATCAATAAACATCAGTGATTTGTTATGACTGCTAAGTTGTGCAGTAAAACCAAATTTGGCAGATTTGTATTTATTTTTTAACAATTACTAGTAAAGGTGGCCTCCACCTCCCCTTATAGCCACACCTTCGCCACCAAAACATATCCACTGAATAAAATAACACTAATCATGGTAATTACTGGCAGTTCAAATAAACAACAGGCAGTCTGCACATTGTTGATATACTTACCATGCAGATTATACATGTTGTGTGTACCTTAATAATGTAATAGCAAGAGAGAGATGTATAAGTGAAGTAAACTTGGCTTTATGAAATACTTATCAATGAACACCAGTGATTCAATATGATGGCTTAGGAGTGCAGTAAAACCGAACTAATGACATATTTGTATTTATTTTTTAACAAGCAAACAATAACTAGTAAAGGTGGCCTCCACCTCCCCTTATAGCCACACCTTCACCACCACCAAACATATCCAATGAAATAAATAGCAGTTGTTGCACGTTATGCTGAGGAAAGAAGGGAGGGGGTTACCATACACAGGATGCCCTTGCCAATAAGAACAACCAGGGCTGAGGGTGTGCAGGTCCTAGTGCTACTAAGCTTCTAGTAAATTACACAAAAAGCTACTGTGGCAACTACCTCTGTCAATGTCAATGAGCAGCTCCCTCTGCTTGTCTAAGGCAACTAACGTTGTAAAAGGATTGTGGCAACTACCGCCGCCAGTGACATGATACCTTCCACTGTTTGGCCCTGGAAGCAACTACTGCTGCTTGGAGAAAATAGCAGCTAATGTTGTAAAAAACATCGTGGCAACTACCGCTAGCAGGGACATGATAACTACCGCTGCCGGCCTAAATGACAACTACCACTTGTTGGCCAATATACGTGGCAATTGGTTGCCCAACTTAAGCAATGTTTATGATGCCACAAGTGAAAAACCATGAAAGACCAGTTTGCCAATGAAAAGCAGGTAAACTCCTAAAATAACAGATCTTTGGTGATAGTGAATGATGAGGAATGCTAATTACTGCCAATTACTGTCAGTATGTAGCACGCTCGCAACCCAAGTACCAACATGTCCGACTCCCCATTGTTCTTGGTGCCTTAGGTTTGGTACCTCCAAATCTGTTGACTGACATTGGGAGAGTACCCGGGTATGTTGCCAGAAATACAGCCCTGGGTAATGCAGAAGACTGCAGTGTTAGGGAGTCTTAACATTCTCAGAAATGTTCTGGGACGGTTTGGCTTGGCAGCCCTTCCTGGGAGAAGTCCCATTTGCTGTCTGGGCTGCATGTAGAGGAGGCAAGGACCCTGAGCTGATGATGAGCCTAACAAGCCTGACTGTGCCAGATTACTCAAATTAAATTGGCTGCATTTTTTGTTTAACCAGTAAATAATAATAATAATAATAATAATAATAATAATAATACCATCTTTGCCATGCTGGTGGTTTTGACACAGAGGTCCATCCATGGTAAGACCCGCAAGGGCGTCATGGAAAATCATCAATACAAAATTCTTTGGAATAGGCCTCACGCCTGTCCAGGCCAACAAACCTGATCTGGACCTTTTTGAAGTCTAATGAAATCATTTTTGTTATTGAATTTTCTGTCTCTTTTGACACCAATGTGATTGACAAGGTGGAGGAAAAACATGGCAAATATGCAGACCTCGCTTTCGAAATGTCACGCTTACATCCCAAGAACCAAGTTGTCCAACTCCTCATTGTTCTCGGTGCCTCAGGTTTGGTACCTCCCAATCTGTTGACTGAAATTGGGAGAGTACCCAGGTTTGTTCCTGGGAATAAAGCCCTTCTGACAATATGTGTATTGCAGAAGGCTGCAGTGTTGAGGAGTGTCACTTTCTCCAAAACATTCTTAGTGGGTTTGACTAGGCAGTGCTTCCTGGAAGAATTCCCATTTCTGTCTGGGCTGCGTGTAGAGGGGGCAAGAACCCTGAGCTGATGATAAGCCTAACCAGCCTGACTGTGCAAGGATCACCCAAACCCAATTTGCTGCATTTTGTGCTTTAATCTAATAATAATATCTCATGCAGGACATTCAGCAAAGTCATTTGCACGAGAAATCGTGTGCTAAATACAGGCGTCAGGCTCATCACACAATGCCTAATTGGCAACCACACAACTACGGTCCTGAAAGAACTGCATTGGCTACCAGTTAGACTGGGAATCTTGTCACTGACAAATCTCTTTCACAGAATCAGATTATGGTTCCAGCAGGTTGTATTTGGGGTGCAGACAATCAAATTCAAGGAAGAAATCTGTAGAAATACAAAAGAAACCCGACATGAGAACAGGCATTAAAAGTGCAGAAGTGTGTGTGGGGGTTATGGTAATAGTAAATTGTTTCTTTCTGCTTTTACATGTTTAGTATATTTTGAGCTCTTGCCAAAACTTTCATTCATTCTGGCTGATATCTTGTGACTGGATTCACAGCTGAAAGGAATAGGCTATGAGGATGGATTCACTGAAATCCTCAATACTTGATACTTGGCTGATGGTCCGAGACAGGCTGGAACCACTGCTCCCAAGAACAGGGCTGACAATGGATTTCATCAAAGTCTGGTTGTAGTCTTGTGACAGGTTGCTTTCACTGCTGAAGATGGAATCATCCAAATCTGGGCCCAATGACGTCTGGCTGATTGTTTCTTCATCTAGGCTGCATGCACTGGTAACTGAAGACAGCCTGAAGGTGGCATCATGAAACTCAGGGCCCAATGACGTCTGGCTGATTGATGCTTGATCTAGGCTGCAAGCACTGTCAACCTGAAGCTTCCTGAATGTTGAATCATCAAAATCTGGGCCCAATGACGTCTCGCTGATTGTTGGTAGATCCAGGCTGCATTCACTGTCGACCGGAAGAGGCTGGAAGCGAGAAACAGCGAAATCTGGGCCCAATGATGCCTGGCTGATTGCTGCTTCACCTATGCTGCATTCACTATCAATTGGAAGCGGCTGGAATGTAGAATCATCAAAATCCAGGCCCAATGAAGTCTGGCTAATTGTTGGGAGATCCAGGCTGCATTCACTGTCAACTGGAAGAGGCTGGAAGCTGGAAACATCGAAATCCGGGACCAATGACGTCTGGCTGATTGTATCTTGATGTAGGCTGCATGTGCTTTCAACTTGAAGAGGCTGGAAGGTGGAAACATCTAAACCCAATGACGTCTGGCTGATGTTCTGACTCAGGCTTGATTCACTGCAAATAGTAACAGGCATGAAATGAGGTGGTGAGAGTTCAGCAATAAACTCTTCGACGATTGAGGTTTGGCTTGCACTGGTGCCAGCAGGGAGGGACATATCACATGGGCTTGGGAATATGCTTGCACTGGTGGCAGGGAGGGATGTATGATTTCGGCTGGGGAAAACATGTCTACTCTCTAATAGAAACATAGAAGGAAGGTCATTAGTGTCAGTACAGTTAGAAGTAAAGTTAGGATAGTCTGAATGAAGCACACTGGTATTTGGACTGAAAAAACCTGCATTATGAATATTCAGATACTGGCTTGGGATGAAGGATGGGAAGGAAATAGGTTGTTCAAACTGTTGTAGGATGCTGTTGTAGAAGATGGAGGATCTAGGGGTGGGGCATATTAGGCTGGTGGACCTCATTGTAGGACAGGAGGGGATGACAGCATCAGTGTCGGGGCAGGGAGGGTCATCCAGGTTCACCCAACTCTCACTGGGACACAGCATGTTGTGTCTCTGAAGTATCAATGTGGGATTTATTTAGATTCATTTCACACAAAGGACAAAATACAGGTATTGTTGTTGAGGCTTGTTTACATGAGTGGTTTACATTGTGTACTTATACAGGGATTTTGATGGAGACAATTGGCATGAGGACATTTTCATCATTTTATCAACTATATATAAATATATACCAAATTTTAAAACTATCTGTTGGACATTTTAGATGACAATCCATGTCTTGGAAAGTGAACCGATCAAAAAACCCTGCCTTGATGAATGTAAAAGCTAGAGTTCTTGCGTTTTGAAGTGGGACATGTCATTATTATGTGTGTTGTTTAGATGAGAATACCTCTAGAGTTGATCTTTGCACCAGATCAAGGTGAAACACAGGAAAAACTGTAGAATCCAGATAATCGATCACAACAACAGAAACCTGTCAACAAGACAGACATGAAGTTACTTATAACATCTTGATGTTTTATCAGTATAAATAAAGTGGGCTTTTCTATATAGAAAGATGCTTTTATGTTATAACTTTAAGCATATTTCATGGCTAAAAGCTAAATACCAAAAGTCGTTATGAAGACAGTGTGAGCGGCAAAGTACATGTCTCCCACACTTGCTAGGCATGTAGTAATGACAATGAGGTAATAAAAAAAACAACCTAGGACCTGTTACAGGGTGAGAAATTAATAATATTGTGATAATTCTTTATTTTAACAAGTCCACAAAAAGTATCTGTTTAGAAGAAAGAGAATAATGAGAATAATAATAATGAGGAAGAAAGAAATAACTTCAATAGAACATAAAAGTACATAAAAATGTGTAGTCACTGGTAATGTACATTCATAGTCGTTGGACATAGTTACTGACTTTTGATTTGAGATATCAATTAAATGACATCAGTAAATTTTCATGATTTTATCAACCTTTGAGAGGACATTCTTCTATATCACATGTATCATCATTAAATAATGAAAGAAGTTTGAAATCGGACATTTTGACTGACAAGTCAGTTTCCTAGTAAAGCACAATATATTTCTGTGCAAAACTTGATCAGCCCAATTTTGATACACCTTATATATTCCCAGTTTACTGGCCTGCAATTGTCTATTGGCATCATTTCAGTGGGTATTTCTGTTATGATATGGAGAACTATTAGCTGACCTTAGCAGACCACAGAGATGTGGGTCAAATATCGGCCTCTGGGCAGGTCTAGGAAATCCCTAGACCAAACGGAAGAATACTGGACTTGAAGTGCAGTAAGGATTCCAACCAGATTTTACTAAAAATATCATTAGACCTTTAGACATCATTCTCAATTTTCCAAAGCACATAACTATTACGGGAATGGAAAATATCCCAGTGCGTATGACAGCCTGTGGCAGTAACTTGCTGCTTGCCAAAACCTGTCAGTTTGATGGATCTTCCCTAGACTTTTTTGCGAAAGAAAGCTTTAGCGTTTTAGCCCACAGAAACCGATGACGGTTTAGGCAACACCCCATCATTTTCAGTAGATCTTAGTGTTCATGTATGGACCTTTATTAGCAAAGCTTACTAGACTGAAAGAAAGGTTTACTAGACTTGGGCTACGGACTGGTGGCTAAAGTCACAGACTGCGGTTTAGGTGAATCGATGACGTTTTTGTGTGGGGCCGTTCATAAACATGATCAGAATTGAGGTCAATTTGGGTATCAAAACAATCGTGGTGGCTCCAGAATTACCGAAATACTTACAACGTGCGTCTAAATATGATAGGCAAACAAGCTGGTAAATGAAGGAATAGATAATACAACACTAATCTAAAGGAAAACGTAAGCAAAATGGGCTTCAAAATGTTGAATATTTGCTGGTTGTCAAAGATGGCCTGTTTTGTTTACAATGCCAACAAACACAAATCCAGAGACATTTCGGGAGAAACCAAAAGGAATTCATACAAAATAACATCTACAAACCTGTCTGCAGAAACAAGAAGGCACTTGAACTCAAACAGGTCTCTGAAATCTGTTAAAATAGCAACTGAAATAGCAACGATACGCTTCTGTCAACGAAGAATCGTAAGAGCCGGGTCTTGAACTTGTTTTGAACTGTTACCGTAGCAACACCGGAAATAGATTTGAACCAAAAGGTTTTTTTGTATTCACGAATGGAAATATGCTTCTATATCCAGTAGAACATTATTTAAATCATAATCGCAAAATAAAACTTACATTTAAATAAAATGTCTTGCTGGGTGCCGACTCTCTGTGCGCTGCGTCAACTTTGTAACATGTAGAGACGGAGCCTGGCGGAAAGGAAACTAGTCAACTCGTTCACACGAAGACCCGCAAATTATCGCGCAACATCAATGACAATCGTTTGCGATATTGGGAGTTAGTCTCTTTCACGTTAAACGTGACATGACGGTGCCAATGAAGATTGAAGAAAATTATTCAAAATAATACAAGAGTCAGTTCTCTGTATCAAAAGTCTTTTGTGAAAAATATTTGAGAAAGTGCCTAAAGACGATCGGATGTATAAGTGGTTCCCCATGCTTGTCTGTCTGGGTTGATTATTTAAACTGAATTATCTAAATATAGAAACAGGTGAAAGAAATGAGTACATAATATACGTACAGTTTCTGGGAGTGTTTTTTTAAAAAACTTGACATACAAGATATTAACGTTAACAGTGGCCATTAAGTCTACACTGACTTCTGTTCAAGGAAATAATAATATCATTTAAAAAAATGTGTCATTCGGTTTTTTTACCGACATAAAATTAAGCTCGCAGTTTTTTTCCACTCGTCCTTATAATGATAACATATAGCAAAACCCTTAAAATGGGCCAATTTACTACTAGTCCTTAGGATACCTTTACTATTGGGCAGTTTGGTAAGGACTACAGGACTAGTGCTAGTTTCTAACGCTGGGGTGTGGGGGAGGCTATAACCCTGCGGTACATTAGACGAATGGGTCACCTTCATCCTTTTATTATACTCGAAGTGCCGACTTCCTACATTTGCCGCCATTGGTTCCGATACGGCAGTCCGTATACGCGGGACTGATTACATTCATATTTGTGTGTAAAAGTGAAACATAATCACCATGGTTACATACATATAATTAAATAAACACGCCCCTATTTATATACACAATTCATATTCTGAAAAAATGAATCCCAAATAGGCCCAAGTATTATATCCTTGGTTTGTAAATATCACACTGTGATTGTGGGCTTTTACAAAATGTAATAGTCTCAGACCTGCATCACTTCTGGATTTCCTCCCATTCTGAGCAGACACGCCGTTTGTATAACTGAAATACTGTATAATGCGGCGTTAAAAGTCACCCACTCACTTACATGACATACCGACCCGTCTAGATCCGGGTTAGAATACGTCTTCTGCACCCATGCTTGTCGTAAGAGGCGACTAACGGGATCGGGTGGTCAGGCTCGCTGACTTGGTTGATGCATGTCATCGTATCCCAATTGCGTGGATCCATGCTCATGTTATCAATCACTGGATTGTCTGGTCCAGATTCGATTATTTACAGACCACCGTCATATGGCTGGAATATTGCTGAGTGCGGAGTTAAACAACAAACAAACATGACATACTGTTATCATATACAAACTTGCAAGACAAAAGTATATTGTTGGACTCAGGTTTTCTGACTTTTGGACTGTGAATATGACCTTATTAATTGTGCGTCGTCGTAAAAAGACCGCTGTATCATTGCTCATGGTATCAACCGCTGGGACTTCTACCCAGACGATTATGTCCAGGCAGCAGTGATATACTTAGAGTATTGATGATTATATTTCTTTCCATCTTTGGCTTGTTTTTTCGTGTTTATCGCCGCGTTAACGTCACTTCCAAACACTGTGCTCACAGGTTCCTTCTCTGTTCAAGGTAAGCAGGTTCACAGAGTCATTATTTTTACTTTATATATGTGTGTGCATTATTTAATGGTTTATCGGTGCATTTATATTTGTTCATTTGATTAAAATCATGTTGCATATACGAGGTGCACTTTGCTTTCGATGAATATGTAAAATGTATGTCTATAACATATTTCAAGTTATAGCCTTAGACCCAAGTAACTGCCATGTTATATAGTTCTATCAGGCATATCAAATATCACATACTATGCTGATAGGGAAATACAAGTCTACGTTCTATTGAAACTGATTATATTTCATCAAAATGCATTTTATTATGAATTACCTGCTATGTAACCAGGGAAGTAGTAAAGTTCATACTGAAAAATATCCCCTTGTTACAAGGGATGCATGAAAATTATCTAGCAATGATTATCTCCCTTTAGCGCTACAAATGTACAAACATATGTTTGTTTATTTGTTTTGTTTACTTGTGTTTAGGTTGTTGTACTGTATTATCACGTTGTATTGTATATTGTAAACGCCGAGTACGTTAATAGGCTAGGTTTAGCCTACCAGACAAACCACCGTTCACATTTTGTAAACCTAGAGTAAAAGGTGGCCTGTGTCATGGTTTATTGCTTCCGTAGCCTCCACCCACACTTGTAATCCCTATGTACTAGGAGCCTTTGGTGTCATTTATACTGTATGACTATGATAGTTACATGTTTGGTATTGTTTCAATATCACACTGTGTTTTCTGTATATGAGTTAGGTTTATAAACTATGCTAATATGAAAACACAATTACCGTAGTTATTGTAAAATATATTACTCATTGATTGTATTTAACATTTATTTGTCTTATTGCATTTTGTTTAGTATAACATCGTTGTAATTATTTTGTAATTATAATGATAATTTGCGAATCACACCAAAACACTGTACTCACGGTTTCCTCCTCTTTTCAAATTTCCAGGTATAATATTTGTTTGTTTGTTTGTTTGTTGTTTAACGCCGCAGACGATGCAGCGATTGATATCATGTGCACCAATCCACGCAATTGGGATCGATTACATGCATCAACCAAGTCAGCGAGCCTGACCACCATGCAGATCCCGTAAGTCGCCCCTACGACAAGCATGATCGCCTTTTAAAGCAAGCAGCGGTTGCTGAAGACCTAAATGTCAACTACATTTTTAAAGACACCTTGAATTCAAGCATGTATACTTGACACTTCGTTGCAATAATCAAGGGCGATTTTTTTAGAAGTTTATGTACGTTTCATTGACTATTAAAGATATACTTGTCAGCCTCATACCAGTGCTCATGCATTTCAATAGTGGGAAGCCTCTACAAGCCTCTTAGAGGAACGGGAAGCCAGTCGTCTAAGGCACTGCAATTCCCTGTGAAGATTTGCATCCCTTTGGCATGCCAGAACTCATAATCATGGGTTCGAACCCTTCTTCCGATTGTTTCTATGTTTGTCAGCATCATACCAGTGCTCGTGAGTTTCACCAAAGTAGTAAACGTCTGAGACCTGCATTGCCTCGGGCTTTCCTCCGACATTGAACTGACACTCCTCAATACAACTGGAGTACTGTTGAAAGCCGTGTTAAACCCAACTCACTACCAACCTCTTTCACTTTGAGCAGACACACTGTGATATGACTGAAACACTGGCTAAAGCAGAGTTAACTCAGCTCACTCACTCACTGATTATGGGAATAACAACATAAGACAAACTTGTGCCTACAATTAAAATCCTATTTATTAAGTCCATAAAAATGAAGTTGTCATAATTATTATGTGTCACATTTTTCAAGGGGAAAAAAAATACATTGTTTAAAACTTAAAGTGGCCTCCACCTCCCCATATAGCCACACCCTCACCACCAAAACATATCCACTGAAATAAAAAAAACAGTAATCATGGTAATTGCTGGCACACCAAATAAACAACAGGCAGTCTGCACATTGTTGATATACTTACCATGCAGATTATACATGTTGTGTGTACCTCTATAATGTAATATTTCAAATAGAATATCACATGAACAGCAAGAGAGATATGTAGAAGTGAAGTAAACTTGGCTTTATGAAATACTTTATCAGTAAACATCAGTGATTCATTATGACTGCTAAGTTGTACAGTAAAACCGATTTAAAGACATATTTGTATTTATTTTTTAACAAGCAAACAATTACTAGTAAAGGTGGCCTCCACCTCCCCTTATAGCCACACCTTCACCACCAAAACATATTCACTGACATATAAAACAGTAATCATGGTAATTACTGGCAGTTCAAATAAACAACAGGCAGTCTGCACATTGTTGATATACTTACCATGCAGATTATACATGTTGTGTGTACCTCTTTAATGTAATATTTTAAATAAAAACATCAGTGAATCATTATGAATGCTAAGTTGTGCAGTAAAACTGAATTAATGACATATTTGTATATATTTTTAAACAAGAAAACAATTACTAGTAAAGGTGGCCTCCACCTCCCCTTATAGCCACACCTTCACCACCACCAAACATATCCACTGAAACAAATAGCAGTTGTTGCACGTTATGCCGAGGAAAGAAGGGAGGGGGTTACCACACACAGGATGCCCTTGCCAATAAGAACAACAAGGGCTGAATGTGTGCAGGTTCTGGTGCTACGAAACTCCCAGTTAATTACACAAAAAGCTACTGTGGCAACTACCACTGTCAATGTCAATGAGCACCTCACTCTGCTGGCCTAAAGCAGCTACTGTTGTAAAAGTGTCATGGCAACTACCGCTGGCAGGGACATGATAACAACCGTTGCCGGCCTAAATGACAACTACCTCTGATATGAAAACTACCACTTGTGGGCCAATATACGTAGCAGTTGGTTGCCCAACTTAAGCAATGTTTCTGATTCCACAAGTGAAAAAACATGAAAGACCAGGTTGCCATTGAGTCCCAAAATAACTGATTTTGGGTGATAGCATACCTACATGACTGATAACAAGTGCCAGTTGTCCAAAAAATCACACAGTTCTTTTTCACTGAGGTGGATGGGCTCCCGGGCGTACTGTGTCCTGTCTGATACCAGGATATGTGGATGCAGTAGGCTAGCCTGCAGTTAATGACCTTCCACATCCACTCGTTCTTGAATTGATCTCCATGTCAAGGTGGATCTGGCATCCTTTGACTGTGCACCACAGGGCAGAGGTGAATGATGAGGAATGATAATTACTGTCAGTTCGTAGCACACTAGCATCCCAAGTACCAAGTTGTCCCACTCCCCATTTTTCTTGGTGCCTTAGGTTTGGTCCCTCCCAATCTGTTGACTGACATTGGGAGAGTACCGAGTTTGCTACCAGGAATACAGCCCGTCTCACAATCTGGGTAATGCAGAGGGCTGCAGTGTTGAGGAGTCATTCTCTGAAATGTTCTGGGATGGTTTGGCTCGGCAGCCCTTCCTGGGAGAAGTCCCATTTGCTACCTGGGCTGCATGTAGAGGAGCCAGGATCATGCTGCATTTTTTGTTGAACCCGTAAATAATAATAATAATAATAATACCATCTTCGCCCTGCTTGTGGTTTTGACACAGAGGTCCATCCGTGGTACGACCCGCAATATGTCATAAAAACAAAATTCTTTGGAATAGGCCTGGGTGGGTTGGAGCAGACAGCGCGAATGTCTTAACATTCTCTGAAATGTTCTGGGACGGTTTGGCTTGGCAGCACTTCCTGGGAGAAGTCCCATTTGCTGTCTGGGCTGCATGAAGAGGGGGCAAGGGCCCTGAGCTGATGATGAGCCCAACAAGCCTGACTGTGCCAGGATCAGACAAACCCAATTTAAACCCCAGTTTTAACCTGTAAATAGTAATAATAGTAATAATAATACCATCTTCGCCATGCTGGTAGTTTTGACACAGAGGTCCATCCATGCTACGACCCGCAATATGTCGAGGGCATCATAGAAAATCATAAATACAAAATTCTTTCGAATAGGCCTGTATACAGCCTCAGACCTGTCCAGGCCAACAAACCTGATCTTGTCCTTTGTGAAAAGTCTAATGAAATCATTTCTGTTATTGAATTTTCTGTCCCTTTTGACACTAATGTGATTGACAAGATATAAGGAATAACATGGCAAATATGCAGACCTTGCTTTCGAAATGTCACGCTAGCATCCCAAGTAGCAAGTTGTCCAACTCCTCATTGTTCTCGGTGCCTCAGCTTTGGTACCTCCCAATCTGTCGACTGAAATTGGGAGGGTACCCAGGTTTGTTGCTGGGAATACAACCCTTCTGACAATATGTGTAGAAGGCTGCAGTGTTGGGGAGTTTTCACTTTTTTATCCAAAAAGTTCTTGGTGGGTTTGACTAGGCAGCGCTTCCTTGGAGAATTCCCATTTGCTGTCTAGGCTGCGTGTAGAGGGGGAAAGGACCCTGAGCTGATTATAAGCCTAACCAGCCTGACTGTGCCAGGATCACCCAAACCCAATTTGCTGCATTTTGTGCTTTAATCTAATAATAATATCTCCTGCAGGACATTCAGCAAAGTCATTTGCACAAGATACAGTGTGTGCTAAATACAGGCGTCAGGCTCATCACACAATGCCTAATTGGCAACCACATAACACCAGTTCTGAAAGAACTGCATTGGCTACCAGTGAGACTGGGAATCATGTCACTGACAAATCTCTTTCACAGAATCAGGTTATGGTTCCAGCAGCTTGTATTTGGGATGCAGACAATCATTAAGAGTTTCTGGAAAGAGTAGAAGGGCAGGTGGATTTTTTGCTGGAGCTCGGTCACTGTTATTGAACACAGGTACATGTATATATGAAGTTCAAACTTAATCTTGAGTCCTGAGCCAAGGAAGGGGTCACCAAGGTGGATGGAGTTTTGGCTGGAGCTAGATCTTGGATCTCTGTTGCTCAACACAGTAATGGCACCTGAATAGATCTGAAATGAAATGAAGCCAAGGTTCACAGCAGGAGAGTCACTGCAACCTTCATTAGATTATTATCCTGGGACAAATTCAAAGAAGAAATCTGTAAAAATACAAAAGAAACCCGACATGAGAACAGGCATTAAAAGTGCAGAAGTGTGTGGGGGGGTTATGGTAATAGTAAATTGTTTCTTTCTGCTTTTACATGTTTAGTATATTTTGAAAAGAAACTGGGCAGTCTGGAATAAAGTTTAAATTGAGCTTTTGCCAAAACTTTCATTCATTCTGGCTGATATCTTGTGACTGGATTCACAGCTGAAAGGAATAGGCTATGAGGATGGATTCACTGAAATCTTCACCAACTGATATTTGGCTGCTGGTCTGAGACAGGCCGGAATCACTGCTCCCAGGATCAGGGCTGACAATGGATTTCATCAAAGTCTGGCTGTAGTCTTGTGACAGGTTGCATTCACTGCTGAAGATGGAATCATCCAAATCTGGGCCCAATGACATCTGGCTTATTGTTTCTTCATCTAGACTGCATGCACTGGTAATTGAAGGCAGCCTGAAGGTGGAATCATGAAACTCAGGGCCCAATGACGTCTGGCTGATTGATGCTTGATCTAGGCTGCAAGCACTGTCAACTTGAAGCTTCCTGAATGTGGAATCATCGAAATCCGGGCCCAATGACGTCTGGCTGATTGTTGGTAGATCCAGGCTGCATTCACTGTCTACTGGAAGAGGCTGGAAGCTGGAAACATCGGAATCCGGGCCCAATGAAGTCTGGCTGATTGTTGGTAGATACAGGCTGCATTCACTGTCAACTGGAAGAGGCTGGAAGGTTGAAATATCGAAATCCGGGCCCAATGACGTCTGGCTGATTGTTGGAAGATCTAGGCTGCATTCACTGTCAACGGGAAGAGGCTGGAAGGTGGAAACATCGAAATCCGGGCCCAATGAAGTCTGGCTGGTTGTTTCTTGATGTAGGCTGCATGCGCTGTCAACTGGAAGCGGCTGGAAGCTGGAAACATCAAAACCCAATGAGGTCTGGCTGATGTTCTGACATAGGCTTGATTCACTGCAAATAGTAACAGGCATGAAATGAGGTGGTGAGAGTTCAGCAATAAACTCTTCGATGATTGGGGTTTGGCTTGCACTGGTGCCAGCAGGGAGGGACATATCACTTGGGCTTGGGAATATGCTTCCACTGGTGTCAGCAGGGAGGGACATATCACTTGGGCTTGGGACTACGCTTCCACTGGTGTCAGCAGGGAGGGACATATCACTTGGGCTTGGGACTATGCTTCCACTGGTGTCAGCAGGGAGGGACATATCACATGGGCTTGGGAATATGCTTCCACTGGTGTCAGCAGGGAGGGATGTAGTATTTCGGCTGGGGAATACATGTCTGCTCTCTAATAGAAACATAGAAGGAAGGTCATTAGTGTCAGTACAGTTAGAAGTAAAGTTAGGATAGTCTGAATGAAGCACACTAGCATTTGGACTGAAAAAACCTGCATTATGAATATTCAGATACTGGCTTGGGATGAAGGATGGGAAGGAAATAGGTTGTTCAAACTGTTGTAGGATGCTATTGTAGAAGATGGAGGATCTAGGGGTGGGGCATATTAGGCTGGTGGACCTCATTGTAGGACTGGAGGGGATGACAGCATCAGTGTCAGGGCAGCGAGGGTCATCCAGGTTCACCCAACTCTCACTGGGACACAGCATGTTGTGCCTCTGAAGTATCAATGTGGGATTTATTTAGATTCATTTCACACAAAGAAAAATATACAGGTACTGTCACACGTTAGGCTTGTTTACATGAGTGGTTTACATTGTGTACTTATACAGGGATTTTGATGGAGACAATTGGCATGAGGACATTTTCATCAATTTATCAACTATATATAAATATATACCACATTTGAAAACTATCTGTTGGACATTTTGGATGACAATCCATGTCCTGGAAAGTGAACCGATATCAAACCCTGCCTTGATGAATGCAAAAGCTAGTGTACTTGTGTTTGAAGTGGGACATGTCGTTATTATGTGTGTTGTTTAGATGAGAATACCTCTAGATTTGATCTTTGCACCAGATCAAGGTGAAACACAGGAAAAACTGTAGAATCCAGATAATCGATCACAACAACAGAAACCTGTCAACAAGATAGACACAAAGTTACCTATAACATCTTAATGTTTTATCAGTATAAATAGAGTGGGCTTTTTTATATAGAAAGATGCTTTTATGTTATATCTACATGTATAAGCATATTTCATGGCTTAAAGCTAAATACCAAAAGTCGTTATGAAGACAGTGTGAGCGGCAAAGTACATGTCTCCCACACTTGTAGTAATGACAATGAGGTAATAAAAAAAACAACCTAGGACCTGTTACAGTGTGAGAAAATAATATTGTCATAATTCATCCTTATTTTAACAAGTCCACAAAAAGTATCTGTTTAGAAGAAAGAGAATAATGAGAATAATAATAATGAGGAAAAAAGAAATAACTTCAATAGAACATAAAAGTATGGAATATGTATAGTCACTGGTAATGTACATTCATAGTCGTTGGGCATAGTTACTGACTTTTGATTTGAGATATCAATTAAATGACATCAGTAAATTTTCATGATTTTATCAACCTTTCAAAGGACATTCTTCTTTATCACATGTATCATCATTAAATAATGAAAATAGTTTGAAATCAGAACATTTTGACTGACAAGTCAGTTTCCTAGTAAAGCACAATATATTTCTGTACAAAACTTGATCAGTGGGTATTTCTGTTAGGATATGGAGAACTATTAGCTGACCTAAGCAGACCACAGGTAGAATATAAGCCTCTGAGCAGGTCTAGGTAAATCTCTAGACCAAACAGAAGAATACTGGACTTGATGTGCAGTTAGGATTCCAACCAGATCTTACGAAAAATATTATTAGGCCTTTTGAAGGCCTAAGACATCATTCTCAATTTTTGAAAGCACAGGGACTGGAAAATATCACAGTGCGTTTGACAGCCTGTGGCAGTAAGTTGCTGCTTGCCAAAATCTGTCAGTTTGATGGATCTTCCCTAGCCATTTTTGCGAAACAAAGCTTTAGCGTTTTAGCCCACAGAAACCAATGAGGGTTTTCAGTAGATCTTAGTGTTCATGTATGGACCTTTATTAGCAAAGCTTACTAGACTGAAAGAAAGGTTTACTAGACTTGGGCTACGGACTTGTGGCTAAAGTTACAGACTGCGGTTAAGGTGAATCGATGACGTTTTTGTGTGGGCCGTTCATAAACATGATCAGAATTGTGGTCAATTTGGGGGTCGAAACAACCGTGGTGGCTCCAGAATTACCGAAATACTTACAACGTGCGTCTAAATATGATAGGCAAACAAGCTGGTAAATGAAGGAATAGATAATACAACACTAATCTAAAGGAAAACGTAAGCAAAATGGGCTTCAAAATGTTGAATATTTGCTGGTTGTCAAAGATGGCCTGTTTTGTTTACAATGCCAACAAACACAAATCCGGAGACATTTCGGGAGAAAACAAAAGGAATTCATACAAAATAACATCTACAAACCTATCTGCAGAAACAAGAAGGCACTTGAACTCAAACAGGTCTCTGAAATCTGTTAAAATAACAACTGAAATAGCAACGATACGCTTCTGTCAACGAAGAATCGTAAGAGCCGGGTCTTGAACTTGTTTTGAACTGTTACCGTAGCAACACCGGAAATAGATTTTAGCCAAACGTTTTTTTGTATTCACGAATGGAAATATGCCTCTACGTCCAGTGGAACATTATTAGAATCATTATCACAAAATAAAACTTACATTTAAATAAAATGTACTGCTGGTTGCCGACACCCTGTGCGCTGCGTCAACTTGGTAACATGTAGAGACGGAGCCTGGCGGAATTGAAACTCGTCAACTCGTCAACTCGTTCACATAATGTCCCGTAAATAATCACGCTACATCAATGGCAATCGTTAGCGATATTGGGAGTTAGTCTCTTTCAGGTTAAACGTGACATGGCGGTGCCTATGAAGATTGAAGAAAATATTTATTCAAAATAATGCAAGAGTCAGTTCTCTGTATCAAAAGTCTTTTGTGAAAAATATTTGAGAAAGTGCCAAAACATGACCTATCATTTCAGTTTGCCTGTTACGCTGCATTCTTCAATAAATAAAGAGGAATTAATAAAATCATTTTTTTTAAATGTGTCATTCGTTTAACCGGGATAAAATTAAGCTCATGCATAATGCCGGGGTCTGAATTCATTAAAGGTGTTTAGTTTCGTGGGACAACCAGCAATATTTAGAGTACATTTAGAACAAATTTAGGCCGGCCACGTAACATATACGAGGGTCAATGATAATTGTATGTTTAATTTACATGTGTACAAATTGGAATTTGTGTAAATCGATCAAAGTGTTGACCCACTGACCTCACAAGTGTAATGACTGGAAACCTTTGTAATTATTCTTGAGATTCTCCGGGACAAATACATGTACCTATTAAACCCTTCAGTTTTGTGTGGATCCATTTTCTCCAAATTGTCTGTGGTCATTTATGTCCTTTCACGGTTGAATATAGGAAAAAACATGATATAAACACCTCGTCAAAAGTATCGCACGACCAAGATTCTTTTTTTTTCATAATCTGAAATGAAAAGCTGGAAAACAAAACAAATTAGCATCCAGAAGTGTAACTGAATGTCAAAGATGTTCATTTTATGAATAATAAGGACTAGGGGCATTTAGAAGAAAAAAAAGCTTCATTTGCCAGCGACTGAAAGGGAATGTCTTTTTACTCAAAAACATATCTCCCCTCCTTTTTCATATATTAGTTCAAGTTGTTACTGTTAATGTGTTTGCAAGTCCGAAAAACAATACTAGCAAATTATAGCCTAAAAAGATATTGGTTTCGTGCCGAAATATTCATTAAATGCAGAGTTTGGGAACGAAACAAACGCTGCCTGTTTGAAACTAAGTCCAAATTGTTTCTATGGAAACACAACAAATAAAATAATTAAAAATTAAAAAAATATGAAAAGGCAGTAGTTGAGCATAATTATGGTCATTGCACATAAATGACTTTAATGCATTTTCAGTGTCGTGAAGCTCTAAATTGTTAATATATACTGAACCGCAAAAGAAACGTCGCCATGGATATATATATATATATATATGTATATATATATATATATATATATATATGTATGTATATATATATATATATATATATATATATGAGAAGCCTTATTAGTCCAAACACTGAAAACATACTTTGAGACATTAAAAAGATGAAACTTGGCAAAACTGATCATCAAGGTTGAAACAGAGACCATATAATAGATTATCTATTATATGGTCTCTGGTTGAAATTAAAGTGTAAATGTTCTTAAAGTGAAACACAACACTAGTCTCTGAGAAAATGGCATCACAAGTCAGTATCTCGTGTGTCCGCCATGTGCATTGATGACTGCTGTGCAACGTCGATCCATGGAATGGATGAAGCGGTTGATGAAGGCCATATAGGAACTTGAGCCCACACCCTGAGGAACGCCTGACGCAGTTCGGCTGCAGTTATCGGCCTTGGGGGAACGCATGTGCATTTCAATTTGCTCAGAACTCACGTACATTGGGTTACCATGGCCGTAGCCTTGATGCGTTTGGGCGATCGGTTTGATTGTCATCTGCTTTGGGGTTTTTTTATCATCAAATTTCATTTTTCCGGACAAGGTAATTAATGTTTAATTTTAGAAACTTTTACAAAAATTACCAAGATATTTAATGACAACTTTTCATGCAATGTTACTTGGGGTGACGTTTCTTTTGGCGGTTCAGTATACACAGTTTCACGAGATACAGATAATTTGCCGGTATTTATTGCATTCGTGGTGTTGCCTGCACAATCCTGGCCGACATCACCGGGGCACCTCCATTTTCATTACGTTTCACAGCGCATGTGCAGAACAAGCGAAGCGATCAATCACACTGACATCAGGAAAGTTTTTGAGGCGGCGTTACCTGAGAAGTCTAACGAGTAAGTTCAAATTAATGAAGTCATGTTTTGTCGGACATTAACAATGCTAGTTTACTACGGAACTGTTTTGTTTGTATACGATGTATATTTTGGGTGTGAAATGTTGGGTTACCTAGAAGCTTGAGCAGAGACCATATAATAGATCTATTATGTGGTCTCTGGCTAGAGCAACGGTGTGAAAGCGTACAGAACCATTACCTAAATTCGTGGGTAACCTTGATTCGTGGATCGCGGTATTTATCGTGATATCTCGTAAATTAAGTCTTGTATGACGTCACACAGAGGTACTTTTGATGTACACACACTGCCACGCCTTGCTGACAAAAATGTTCCGAATCGCTGCATTACACGTAAGTACAGAAAAGCAAATGTCCAACACTGAGACAAATAGCCCTAGATCACTAATACCAAATTTCATATTTACAAAACATCAAATAAAATATATAGATCTACCGTAAGCACCACCCTTCTCACATCATCTCGTCGTCTGCTTGTCTAGATGTCAATAAACATAAGTCACGTGACTTGAGGTGCTGCGGTCTGTAAAAATTAAAAAACTATGGAAACATTATCAGGCCATCTCGTATAGCTTTTTTTTCCATTTTAATAGGGTTCACAGACGCCTTCACGACAGCTACTAAAGTTACTCGCCTACAGCTTTGACTAATGTTTACTTAGAAGTCCAAAACAATAAAGTTGCAGTTCATAAAGCGACATTCAACTTCTCTGTACCCGAGCAAACACTGAGAGACAGGATAAAAGGCAAGATCGATGTTGACACTGTCAAGTCAGGTGCAACTCCAATTTTTTATGCAGAGCAAGAAACTAGACTTGTTGACAATGTTACATACATGGCATCCATCGGACAGGATATACCAGGAAAGAGGTTATCCAATTAGGGCCCAACTTTGCTTGTCATTTAGGAAAACATGACCTGGCCCATCCATTATCTGTGAAGTGGTTATATGGTCTGTTGGAGCTGAAAGTTAGAAGTGCCAAGTCTCTCAAGGAACTTCGTGCCAAAGGTAGTTCAGAGGAATGCATCAACAAGTATTTTGATGGACTTGCCATGATTATGGACAAATATGGTTTCTAATCAAGACCAGAAGCAACTTATAACGAAGATTAGAAAGGAATCAGTTAGTCCCATGAGGAATCAGTTAGTCCCATGTTGCACCAAAAATTGTTGGCTCAAGAAAATCTGTGGCCTACGAGATTTCGTCGGAGAGATCATCAGTCGTCACACTTTTGGAATGTGGAAATGCTCTGGGCACATTTATTCCACCTTTCTTTGTATTTGCGGGTGCTTGAATGCGCAGTGAATTGCTTGAAGGCTGTACAGCGGGGAACTGTTTCTGAATCGGGGATGCTCAAATGGTGTTATATTCCAAGATTACTTGGACAAGCATTTCCTTCGATATGCAACTCGAGCAATGCCGAATAGACCTTTGCTTCTTCTGTACGATGGCCACAAGTCGCACAATTCGGCGTCTCTGATACTGTAAAACGTGAAATTAAAGCATTTCCAAAAGAATGCTCCGCTGGCTCCTAGCCAAAAATGCGATTCAATATGAAGCTCATTTCTGGTGTCCCCCGCCGTGATATTGCTGGAATATTGCTAAAAGCAGCATAAAACCATACTCACTCACTCACTCAATGCACATCACCGTTTTTGGTACAGTCGGGGCAGTGCATGTATCATGACTGTAACCACTGGGGGCACTTGCAGTATTGTTGTCAAGAGCACATGCTTTGGACTCATGACACATTTTAATTTTATTGCCCTTGCCATAGTCTGCCATGCAAACCATTGGAAGAGTAGGAACTGAAAGAGGACACAAACTTACCTGCAAATAGTGTACATAACTTTATTGACAAGATTCCTTTTTGAGTTGTGTGTTTAATAACTATGTTCAACTGTTATCAGCAGACACAGAAATGCTGGTAGGTATAGAGTCAAATTCATAAAAAAATATAACACAGTAACGGTACTGGCCTTTTGTACATAGCGATACAATAATCTACTATGTAATCCACGAATCAAGGTGATGTCACAATTTGTGTGCACATGAATGACTGATGAATGCAAATGGCTTCGGTAAACAAAACTTTTCAGTTGCGAGTGGAATCTTCGTCATTTTCAGTTGAATAGATGAATGAAATGATCAGTGATTATACAAAACAATATCGGACATTTAAGCCACGAATTTGGGTGAACTTTCCTTATATCCACGAAACAAGGTTGCGCGAGCCTATCAATATGTCACTGGCCGCATGCCATTATTTTCGAGTAATATTTCAGTGTTGATGTCCTCTTTTCGATGTATATGAATTGCTTTGATATTCAATTTAAGGCTTGTCATATTATACATGCAATATGCAAGTGGAGTACGTTTTTGTGGTGGTCGGAGATGCCCATAAGGACATCCGAAGCTGCGAAAGGCCCCTCGTATCTCCAAGCCAATCAGCTTGCCTGGATTCCAAAAGGGCACCAGTCGAGATATAGGCAAGCAAAGTAAGTAAATGCCTCTCACTTACCTTTGCTGTAACAGTTCAGTGACCCGGGAGGAAGAGGAGAGAGATCTCTTCTCCCAAGGCTACACCCGCCCGACCCGTAAGCGGTCCAAGTCCACCGAGTACCAGGCCGCATCCTCAACAACAGCTATACCCAAACCGCCCAGGTTGAGGTATCAGAAGAGGAGGAGGACCACCGATTGGACTTGGCTTGACAAGCTGACCAGATCCTGGAGCAGCACAAGAACCAACCCACCCCCTGCACCGGGAACCAACGTCGGAGCAAAGCTCTAACCCAAACGCCCGTCCGTGCCCACCGATGGTCTTAGTGCAGTCTATGGGGGAGGAACGGTTCAAGCATGATATTCATTTACCAGGACCTCTCCAATTTAATGGTGGAGTGTGATATCAAGATGAGCGCCGCATTCGTCGCCAACATGGCTGACCGGCAGACTCTCCCAGTCCCTCAGTCTAGATGAAGAATGCACAGCCAGGAAGCAGGGACTTGTCACCACACATGCACGCCAGCCGATGCCGTGGCTTCAACCGCTTGACCTCCCCCCTCAAACCCAAGCCCCAACTTTACCATATTATTATATCCCACTCCCACTCCCACTCCCACTCCCACTCCCACTCCCACTCCCACCCAGCCATACTCCAACCCCCTTAGCTTTTTTAGATAAGGTCTGTAAACGTTTATATATTTTTGGGTTGCACTTCATTGCTTATTCTTTTCACCTTTTTTCCCCAAATAGTATAAGTGCAACCCCATGTGTGAAATATGCAGGATGTGTCGTTTTACATTTCCAATATGCGGAAAGTACACGTTAAATTTCCAACTAAGTTAGTTAGTTAGTTAGTTAGTGTCAACTTGTTGCCACTGACACTATTATTGTCGGGATGGTGTTGCCACCAGTTACCTCTATAATGGCGCTGTGAACCAAGTATTAAATCGTGGGAAAATCCGACGAAGTGAACTGGACGTCGCACTCGTCATTTTTTCAATCCGCCATCTTGTTTTGAAAATCATAACGTACTATCCGTTATATATTCATTTCATGAAGGTTCAAAGTGGAATATTGTCGCATCTTCCCTTAAAGCTGCGCCTGGCATATACGAAACAACTGTCATTCATGTATATCTTTGAAAAAATATTCAATATCAATCGTTGCACATGGCTTTGTTATTATACACAACCATTCACGTGCGGCGAAATTAGGTAATGCCGACGTTTCTGTGTTGTGATGAGAACATAGCACGGAAGATTCTGATATCTTACGTGTTTGGGATAATATGTGATTGATCACTGTACTTGTACACTGTACAGTGTTAGTTCTTGAGTATTAGAAGTCAGATTATGATGAACTTTGTGAACATTGATTAGTGATTGATTTTTTTACATTACCAGGATCTGCTTTCCAGTATTTGTGTGGGATTTTTCACATATTCTGGATTTTTCCGGATTCTTATTGAATTTATCTGCAGTTATTAAATAATTGTCCACAGTGCCATGCTGTGAACTTTGATATTATTGTATGTTATAATATAATGTGTAATTGACTCACACTAATCAAAACCCCAAGTGAGATTCGATTAGCATGATTAGTAGGACAGCATATTGTAGATATTTCCCAGCTATATATTGTGGGAACACAGATTTTAAACCATCTAAGTGACAGCATATGGATCATTATCAAAATTTGTACCTCTTTTGGCCCTGTTGATAAACACTTTTAGTAATTTAACAAGAAACATCTAAACTTAACAAATAGTTGGGTAAATTATGCCAACACAAAGAAACATAATTTTGAAATAATTCAAGTATACTGGAGAAACAGTGGAAATCTATTGTCTTTGGTGTAACCATTATAATTACCGTATTCAACGTAATAAGCGCCCCGCTCTAATAAGCGCCCACCGCGATATTTGTTAATATATTGGCTAGTGAACAATCGCTATTAGCACCCATTCCGATTGATCAATGTACACAAGACTTATTTATTCGTGTATAATACGTGTGTTATATGCATTCTTAATTTAGGGAAATTAAACTCAGGAAAAATATATCTGTCGTATATAAACATTTCAGGCTGTCAGGATAAACAACGAAATTTACGATCTTTCAACTCTGTTGTTTTTTTCACAAAAATAATATTCTGATTTCTAATTTTGATAGCGCCCTAGGCGCTTATTATGTCGAATACAGTACTGATCTTTTGCAGAAATAAAAAATAAATACAGTGTTTCTTTCGGTGTATTATTGTAAAACTAACCTGCCTAGAAAATAAAATAAATCTCACTTTTAATATCACCATGTTTTAAAGCTTAGATTATCACTCTTTGTGAGAAATAAAAAGAAAAATTTATAATTTACTCTCCTCTGTGTCGCACACATTACCAAAATGATCGATATAATTTCAATATTCTATTGAACATGTTCTTTGTACTTGTTGAAAATCATGCTATGCAATGTATTTTTACCAGAATCATTTTCAGAATTTCCTCTGGTAACACCAAAGAGTTACACAAAACGGTTACCGGTACACCAAAGACCTTACCATCACTCATGATGATTTTTCTTTCACGTCACAATAAGTCATCAGTAGGAAATGATGCACTACAGTTGGTGTTGCATATTTGCAATGACGTTAGACATGGTGGTTTTAAAACGTTTTCTTTGAAGTTAATACTCCTGTCTTGTGGTAATACCTAGGACATATTAAGTAACACAAAAGACATTTACTGATATAAAGGGACCCAAGTTTAATAAATTTAAGTGTTTGTGTGAGTTAGAGTTGTATTTACAATGGTACAAGACATGTTTTACCCATTAACCCAATCTTCAAAGTTATTCTTCAAAGGGGCAGACGGGTAGTCTAGTGGTTAAAGTGTTCACTCCTCACACCAAAGACCCGGGTTCAATTCCCCTCGTGGGTACTATGTGTGAAGCCCATTTCTGGTGTCCAACACCATGATATTGCTGGAATTTTGCTGAAAGCGACGTAAACATACTCACTCAGTCACTCCAAGTTATTTGCTGACTTGTGGTAACACCAAGGACATATAGTAACACCAAAGACATTTAGATTCATCTAACCGTAAGTTAGAATGTGTTTTTTATGGCAGTACAAATTTAAGTGTTAATATGATTAAAGAGTTGTACTTTCAATGTCACAAGACATATTTAATCATTGCCCATTCTAACTGTTCTAAGTTAATAATTGCTGACTTGTGGTTGGTTTCTTGTTTAACCCGCATTTAGCAATATTCCAGCTATATGACGGCGGCCTGTAAATAAGTGAGTCTAAACAAGACAGTCCAGTGATAACTCTTACACATAATAAAACAAATGGTTACACCAAGGACAGGAACCTTTTAGACAGGCATTCTTTGTTTATTTTTTATCATTTAAAGACAGAAACAAAGTGGAAACTGATTTTCTTTTGAAGATTCTAATCCCATTAGTAAAATAACATCAAAACTCATGTATATGACATAAAATCTGAAATATGTTCACTGAAAAGGGCATTCGGTGTGTGTTGACAGCGACTTTTCATCAAATTCAGACTACATACCACTCCACCACATGAAAATAAAGCACTGACAGATAAATGTTTGATGATATGTTGATTTGGTTCCCCACTGAAATAGTAGGGATGAAATTGAGGGCTATCTCAAACTTTGCAAAAAATAGAGATTACTAACATAAAAAGGGTACATATTTTGATAATGATCCATTATTTCTCTGCTGATGTGTCTCAGTTATGCTCTTTTAAAATATAGGGGGCACGGTTGGCCTAGTCGTGTAAAGCACGGCGATTTTGCTGTGCAGGGTTGCGACCCTTGGACACGCCAGAAACCTATCATTGTGTGTTCGAATCCCAGTTCGCCCTGATTATGTTTCTATGTTCGTCAGCACCATACCCTTGCTCGTAGGTTTCATCGAAGTGGTAAATATCTGAGATTACTGTTAAAAGCGTCATTAAATCCAACTCACTCACTCACTCTAGGTATGCTTGTCGTAAGAGGCGACTAACAGGATCGGGTGGTCAGGCTCGCTGACTTGGTTGATGGATGTCATTTTATCCAAATTGCGTTGATCGATGCTCATGATGATCATGTCAATCACTGGATTGTCTGGCCCAGACTTGATTATTTACATACCGCCGCCATATAGCTCGAATATTTCTGAGTGCGGCATTAAACAACTAACAAACAAAGCAAACACTCACTCTAGGAAAGTATAAATTTTAAATCACAATTCAGACCAACAATTATTGTTTCAACAACAGAACAGTTATTAGCTGATGTTTGCCAGCAATATATTGTGGGAACACCGATTTGAAACGATCTAAGTGACAGTATCTCTCTGCTGAAGTGTCTCAATTCTGCTCTAGGAAAGTATAAATTTGCTTCACAATTCAGACCGACAGAGTAATGCAATTATTGTTACAACAGAACAGTTATTAGCTGATATTTCCCGGGGATATATTGTAGCAAGGATTTCAAAAGATCTAAGTGACAGTATATTTTTCCTGAAACGTCTTGTGTTCTGCTCAGGAACGATTTATTCTGTGACATTGAATTTTCCTCATCATTGGTGCTCGTTAAAACGTCCCCTATGAAACTGCAGTATTCAACGTTAAGATGTATAATCAGTGTCTGTAATATGAGAAGACACAGGAACAATTGTTAATTGTGTGACATTGAACACATAGTCTTCAAATCAGAAGTACATTAGTGACAGATTACTGTGCACACCATGGACACTACACCAGAAACACCAGCCATTACTAGAACTACTTCTCTACTAATAGTACTATATTGTCTTGTCACACAGTCCAACAGCCTGATGCATGACCATTACCATCAGGTCTTGCAGCAACAGCATCCGGACATTACTCCACTGCCCCTTCCTCATTGTTGAACAGGTTTCCCCTCTCTTTCCGATAGAAACGAGGGCTGTAATGTCCACAGTGTGCGATGTACTCATTTGGTTGGTTAGGGAAAGCATGATGGTGTAAGATAGGGTGTAACATTGATCTTCACAAATCCTGCTTTATTTTCAGGTCCTGTAGACACTGAAGACTCTGTTACAACCCAAGGCACTGAACACAAAGGTATGACAACTTTAATGTTATGAATCACTCATGATATATTCTCTTTTGCTTTGACTGTGTGATGTCCTCATTTGGTTGGTTAGGGAAAGTATGATGGTGTAAGATAGGTTGTAGCATTGATGACACAGAAGATAGAGGTATAGCAGCTTCTTTGTATCCTTGGTGGGGCAGCCTTGTGGTTAAGATGTTCGCTCGTCACGCCGAAGACTAGGGTTCGATTCCTCACATGGGTACAATGTGTGAAGTCTATTTCTGGTGTCCCCCACTGTGATATTGCTTGAATATTGCTAAAAGTAGCGTAAAACCATACTCACTCACTCACTCAGATTAAAACAACTGATTTTATGTGTTACTTTAATTAATGTCAAAGTTAAAGTTACATCTGATTTTAACTTTAAATTCTGACATTATTTTTTAGAAAATGCCAAATGAAAATCTACCATGCATCTATCAAGCAATTAGTTGCTCAGTTGCTATATACATGCCAGTATATCATACTTTGAAATAAGAAATTTACCCATATTATTCTGTCCTTTATAAAATGTGTCCCACCATTCAGTGCTTTGAGTTATTGATCCATCATTTCTTACACAATTCTTATGTAAGTTGTTAAAAATGTTTCCACAGTGAATTGATTGGTTCTTCAAACATGAAAGTATACGACAGTCCCTTTTTATGTTACTTATCTTTATTGACAAAACATGCAGTTCAGTGATAGATATTGACTGCTAAAAGTCATGCATTTGTAATCTAATACTAGTACACATGCACAAGTATACCAAGATATCAATTAAAATAAAAACAGTCATTGTGCAATGCAGATATCTGTTCGTGTAAAGAGAAAAGATAATAACATCAATAATTTGTTTATTTGAAACATCAGTTTAGAATCAGCAAACATAAAAAGCAAGGCCTGATGAAATTAAGAAAGAGCTCTATCTGTATTACAATCATCTGATGATTGTCAAAGCAAACTGGATGTAGACACTGCGATGTTAAATCAGTCACCATTATGAAGACTGAAAATTTGTATGGATATATTGTTTTAATTTATAAGATTAAAAATTTTAGTTGGTGTAAGAACCCTTGAATATTTATAAAACTAATATTATAGTGTCTTGTGTCTTAAAAACATATAATTTTCTAATTTTTATCATATTGAACTATAATCAATTTTTAATCATGGCAGTATTTGGCAAAAACAGCCACCCATAAACTCTTTTTTTATACGACATGATGCACCAACTAACCCTTAAATATATCAAATCAGATTTCATTGATTTCCATTTTTTGTTATGATATCAAGTTGATGACGTAATTTGTCAGTGCCTGTTTCTTTTACAATTTCTTGAAAACATTTCTCACTTCTCTCAGTTATATACCTAAAACATACTTACATGTGTTGCTGTCAAAATTAAAACATTTAGATTACTGGCAACTTTACGTTGCATAAGACCTTCACATTTCGTGTACTGCATAATCTCTGTACTGAAATGGATATGATGTAGCCTGCTTGGCGATACATGGTAATTTATTATTTTAGTTTGCGCAGGGATAAAATTACACTAGCCATATCATCATGTATTATTACCTACTTAGTCATGTTTGTACTTCTTTATCCAGTCTATTATACTCTGTTTTTTCCTCACCATGGTTAAACTTTTCACTAGCATGTACATGCTTATTTCATTCATCTACCTACCCTCACTTCTAACATTTTAGGGGGCACGGGTGGCCCAGTCATCTAAGGTGCCGCGAATCGCTGTGCAGAGTTGCGTCCCTTGGGAATGCCAGAAACCTATAATTGTGGCTTTGAATCCCGGTATGTCTCTAGGTTTGTCAGCACCATACACGTGCTTGTGGGTTTCACAGAAGTGGTAAACGTCTGAGACCTGCATCACTTCGGGCTTTCCTCCCACATTAAGCTGACACGCCGTGATATAACTGGAATACTGTTAAAAGCTGTGTTAAACCCAACTCACTCACTCACTCACTCACTCACTCACTCACTCACTCTGACATTTTAATTACGTCCCCTTATTAGCCACGTTTTTTCTAACATGTATAATGTTACTATTTTCATATCCCACAATGCATTATTTTATCAGCTCCGCATGCTCAGTAAGCTCCCAGTGATGTCATGCCTAGAGGCTATTTAACCCTAAAACATTGTTGATTTTGATTTAAACATATTTATTCACAAGGAGTGAACGGGATTGGGGGACAAGTTCTTCCAACTTAGAATGCCCTCTCCCTGGTATTTACAAAATATTCACAATTTCAAATTCAATATACACTGTATATGCATAAAACATAAAACACTATAGATGAGAGAGAGAGAGAGAGAGAGAGAGAGACATTGTTGAATGAACAGTTCTTTACACGAATCTTTTAGTTGTACATATATAATGTTGTACTGCCTTAAATACATGTATAGCTTCATTTTCTGTAACAACGTGATCTGCTTTGCCATGTAACAGTAAGTGTACATCAATAGGTTTTAAGGCTGTTTTACATAATTTCACGCTGATGACTAAACAATGGACATTCCATGAGATAATGATATGCATTTTCACATGTATTCGAACATGTACAGTTCGGGTGATCTTTTATACCAATTCTATATAAATCATAATTCAACTGACTGCACATGTATCTCAGTTTTGTGTGTAATATATTATATTTTCTTTTTCCATAAGCGAAGTACGCAGGTGACGTGGGGTTGTGCTTTTGTAGCGAATTTTTAAAACAAGAAATCGTAGAATTTCGATCTGATAACGGAATAGAGTTCCACAATCGGATAGACGATGGGTAAAAGGATTCACACGAATGTCTTAGTCTTGTGAGAGGAACACTGATGTTTTCAGAGTTTCTGAGACTATGAGTTTTTTGCAGCAACGGTTTTGGGTAGAATATCTGTTAGATAGGAAGGGGCCATGTTATGATTAATTTTGAAAAAAAGACAAAGTTTACGTTTCTTTCTACGCTTCGTAATATAATGAATGCCTGGGGGCATATTTAGGTAGACCAGTTACAATGCGTGCAGCTTCAAATTGTAATTGTTCTAATTTCTCGCTTTGTCCTTCGGTGCAACCATCCCAAACCTCACATGCGTATTCAAAGTGTGGTCTTATGAACATTTTATATATATTGTTAATAGTATTTCTGTGAAGTAGATGTTTGAGTTTTCTCATTGAGTAAATCATCTTGGAAGTTGTTTTAATTATGGTATCTATATGACAAGACCATTTGCCACTGGCTTCAAGTATAACACCCAAGTGCTTATGACTGTTTACAGAGCTTATTTCTTTTCCGTTGAAATATAGTTTTAGACCTCCGTTGTTGTCTTTGCGAGAGAATAGAACCGATTTGGTCTTATCGGGATTGTAAGTTATGAGCCAAAGTTTCGCCCATTCACTTAAGATTGCTAAATTTGTGCTTAAGGAACGTTCCAGTACACTGTTATCATTGGATGACATGCCAATCGATGTATCGTCGGCAAACAGTCTTGTCATACAGTCTAATTTATCAGCAATGTCATTTACATAAACAATAAAGAGTAAAGGACCAAGCACGGACCCCTGTGGCACGCCAGCCTTCATGTATCTTGGTTTGGATATTTCCCCATTCACAAATACGCTTTGGCTACGATTACTTATGTGACTGGTAATCCATTTTAACAATTGGCCTTTTATACCATACCTCTCTAATTTATACACAAGCCCACTGTGCCATACACGATCAAAGGCTTTTGATACATCACAGAATACAATACAATAGTTTTCTTTGTTATCTAACGCTGTACAAATTTGGTGATAAAGTTCTATTAGTTGATGGACAGTTGAGTGACCAGCCTGAAACCCAGATTGGTACTTATACAACAATTTGTTCTCATGAAAGTAGTTATATAAATGTTTGAACACAACTCTCTCAAACAATTTTCCTAAACAACTAATGAGTGATATCGGTCTATAATTAGAAACGATAGTGTGATCACCTTTCTTAAATAATGGCATAACGTTTGCTTGTTTCCACACTGATGGAAATATACTTGATTGTAGTGACATATTGAACAGTAAACACAATGCTTCGCTTATAGAATATACAGTTTCCTTTAATAATTTATGACAAATTTTATCCGGTCCGGAGGCTTTATTAAGAGGCAAACATTGTATTATGTCTTCAATTTCCTTTTTAGATATGATTATGTTGTTCATCTCTGTCTCTGTACGAAATGTGAAGTCGGGCATAGTTGTTCTTGTATCGTGGACATCAGATATAGATTGAAAATATTTATTCAGTTTCTCTGCCTTTCTCTGTTGCTTTGTCTTCCTTGTCCTTGCCTTAATGCTCTGATAATCTCTTACAAATCCATCACTGAATACCCCATCCATTATACTTCTTCACTGGGAATGCTTCCCATTGTGTCGACAATGTTGGATTCAAAGAGGAAATGTGTTGCACACACAATGAGTCTGGTAGAACTAAAAGTGTTAATCTACCTTCCGAAGAATCCTATGACAACATCCAAGATGGCGAACTAACCCCTCGACCATTTCGGCAGTCTCACGTCACCAACCCAGCTGCTGACCTCAGAAACAGACTAGAACAACTAGCAACCAGGAAATTCTAGCTACAGCTGTACAAGGAAAACATCACAAGTGGCCGGCTGATAGACAACCCCAGTGACAACCACAGGCCAACCAGGAACGACATTCCTCAGATACAGGCAGCGAGGGGACAGACTGATGCATTTCAAACTCCAGACGATTTAGCTAGAGAATGCATGACAAGATAAAATACGATCAACACTCCAGCTACACGTGTCAGTGATCATGACAATCAGCATCATATCTCCCACCTGCGCAGCGACCAGACAGAAGTTCCAGTATCCAACATGGCGGATAGAAACATGAGAGATGAGGTCAGGTAGTTGAAGGAGCTTACCTGTGCCATGCGTCAAGAAAATGGAAACAGAACTACACACCAGATGCATCAAG